CGCACGACGTGACACATTCGTCTGCTCGGAAATTTGAAGCCGCTCCAACAGAGCGCGATAGTCAACAACGTGAGGCAGTCGGTGCACAAAGTTCTCCAAGCTCTCGATGTCTTCCGCACAGCGGTATGCGACTTCGGAAAGATGCTCGGCAGAGTGCCGATGACGACGGACCTTGTCCTCAAGAGCTTGAAGAGCATCACGATGCACCGGACGGCGATTAACCAAGTCGACATCGTCGCAGCCGACTCGTCTCGACTAGAGCGGTGACGTCCACTATCACGCGGAACGTCTTGTGTGTCGACGTCGTCGACAGAATGAGACCCAATATCTTGTTAAAGTGACGGGGATATCCAAACTCCAAGACTTCGTGGGAGTTTGAGATGCCCCTTTGGCAAGATTGCACAGACATCGTGGTGCTTATAATCAGAGAGATCGTGACACTCCTCGCTTCTCGGCGGTAGCCTGAAAAGCCGAAAAGCTATGAGCTGAGTTCGACTTATGACCCTAAGCTACCGTAGTCGAAGACTCGCCCGTGTGAGAAACCACAAAGCTCGCGAGATTGTGATGGATAATTCCATATGTTGCACGGCGACAATACATTGGAAGTCTATGTTGCGCTTTGAGTTTGGCAAATTTGATCCGAAGATGACGTTCCACACCCGCGTCCACTTTCTAGTGGCTAAGCCGAAAGTTAGACAGCGAGGAAAGTTTCCGGTGCCGCTGCACCCGTCGCTCAAAGAGCTCTTCATCATCCGCGCCGGTTTTGCCAGGGGCGAACACTACACAAATCGACCGAATCCTTGACGAGGTAATCCGTCGTCCATGGCAGGCGCGGCGTGCGGCGCCCGCTTGCAGAGAGCTTGGGATGTGCTTCTCGTAATTCTGCGGACGAACTGTCCGTAGTTGCACTGCATGCAGGAGACGAGAAGGGCACTGCCCGCGGGCGCCCTCGGAATTAGCAAGGCTGGGTGTTTTTCGTGTCATAGACACAAGGCTCATTGAGCAGAGAATGCGTGACGACGGTCTTAGAGACAACAGTCGAGCCTCGTACGAGGCGACAGTTAAATGTGAATTGTAGGTATTCACAATTCTGATGGGGGGTATAACGGGGTTACATGTACCCTGGTATATAAGGTGGGACACACAAGATGATGTGACCGTACACAGGTGTGGATGACACAAGACGGTGTAATCGCACAATTGTGCGGCTACACCGTATGTTCTCGTCCTTTAAGTCATGGGTCGACTGGAGGTCAGAAAAATTAAGGTGCCATGCGCTTCTCTCCCGGTGAAACTTCAGCAGCTCATGAATTCACCTCCGTCAGGATGCAGAACCATTTTTGGCGCCGATATGAAATGTGGTAGCTTTGACCATGAGATTATCCGAAATCGTTACCAACAAAACTGTCTAGTATCTGTAAAAAAGCTCGGAGAGGCAAAACCGGCAGTGAGCTGTGGTCTCAGGATGAGATAGACGATAGCATAATTTAAAAGTGCAAACTTAAGAGACGGAAACGACCGTTTATCATGCTTCCCAGCATGTGTGTATGAAGCGGAATACCAGCTGTAAGCTGGTGCTTTATGTACTCGTGTCTGTGGAGGGTAGTAGCGACTGGGTGTCGCGGTCTCCTGTGCTGGAGCTGGAGAGCAACTGCAAGCTGAAAATTGAGATCTAGGCTGGCTAATGACGATTTCTTCTTTTGTCATGGAACGGCATTGCTCGTTCTGGACTACGATGTATCGGGCTCACCAAGCGGAGCGTTTAAGCTTCACATGTAATTTCTTTGATGCAGGGCTTGCTGTATTACAGCACTGACCTATTTGACACCATATGCGTGGTGGTATCTCATGATGAAGACCTCGATCATAGAAATACTGTGCAGACATATGATTATCATTGGGTGACCTGCTCAAAAAAGAAAGACATAATGCTTGGCGAGCGCTATGCCTTTGCCACCCGACATTATCCTCAAATGTGCGTACGTGTGCGACTTGTCTATGGGCTAAACTGGCGCTGCATGCGGTGGCTCCTATGGCCAGCCTGTCGGTAAAGACATAGTTCTGGTAGTTTGTTGCCTTGGCTTATATTTTTATCTTCCAAATAACGCGTCCAAGTAAACGGGTGTTGTTGTCGTTATAGACCGTTAGAGCAAACTATCTCATCATGCTACTGTCAGCAACATCTTTACCGGAGAGGATATAGCCAAGTTGTTTCTCGACAAGATTTTTGCTAGCATGGCTTGCCGGTAGCATCATATTAAATAGAAAGCAATACTTTACAAGAAGCTTTGGAGGACTTTCTTCAATGTACTAGACATCAGATTGGAGATGTCGACACTGATAACGATCATCAAAAAGCATTATAGTAGAACGGAGTGTGCGATTGCGTGGTGGACTATATTATTTAAGCGATTGTGTGGAGAGGCCGCGGTTTCGAAGCGAGCTGCTCTTATCATTGAGATTATAATGAGTTTACGCCGTTCGTGCCTCTTACGGACGCTGTAGGAAATGCTCAATATTGTCGCACCCAGCGAAGCGCATTAGCACATAAGCGTCTGATTAACCCCAGTGCCCTCTGATACCACTACAAAGGTTCTCGCTTGGATGGGTAGGTGTTGTCACTGTAATTCTAAATAGCCGTCATCAGCATATGTATCCTTATAGCAAAATGACATGAATCATCTTAGTGATATTGAGCGTCATGTGCCGAGTCCGCAATGCGATAGCTGATAGCCAGGTTGCTCATAAGCAACATGCTGATGTCAAATGCAAGAAAGCGCATGGATATATAGTGGGGGGGGCTTGAATCAATTCCCCGATACATAAATAGTGTCTGAGTCAAAAAGACTCGATTGCGTCCACTTCACGTTGAACCGCACTTGGTCATCTCAAAAAACGTATACCACTATTTTGAAGAAAGCGCACATACATCGTCCGAGCCCGTCGAACACAGAGCGCTATGTTGAAAACTATACCCTGTGGCTGATCTACCCTTTGATTTGGAGCAGTTATACAGTGCGTAACTTATGTCGGTGCTTCAGGCTACCCAATGCGATGAAGAATCGCTGAGGGCACAATCATTTGAGTATCGACCGCACCCCTAGATTCTTGGAGAAAGTCGACGTATCACTATATCCGAGCGAACCATCTTCTAGAGCCACTTGTCTCAATTTGGACTGATCGGTGAGCAACAAATGGCTCATTTTCACGATGAACGATTAGTTGGCGGGGGTGTACACAGGAGTCGTTGCCAGTGTCTAGTGAAGTAAAGGGATCCACGTCAGCTTGTTCGCCCTGGCGCCGTAGCAATTTATGACCTGGCGCAGTTTCGGTCCTTATTTTCTCTAGAAAAAAGGGCGGTGGCGCTGCGCACATCATTGAGATTAACCTTAGTGAAAATTCAAGACTTTCCTTCAGCTGTAAAAGAGACTCATGAATTTTAGAGATCTGATAGCAGGAAATACTTGAGTTGTAGTTGTTGAATTCACACTTAGATTTTTGCGTCATGCTTTGTGTTTGCGAAGTCAAGGATTTAATGACGCTCAGCGCGTTACCTGAGCGCGATACTCTTCGAAACTTGCGCCAGTATACAGTACCCAGTTATTTGTGAAGGGTATCTAGACCAGTGATAAGTGGGATCAAAAAGTGCTCACAAAGCAAGTTTGTGGTGCTCGTTTTGCTCTCGGTGAGCCGTGAGCCAGCTAAATACGTATGTGGGGGGTCCTCCTCAGTAAACGACAAGTAGCTTTAGATTTGGAGCCAGAATTCGATGTGATGACATTGGTACGATCTGTCGCGATTCTTGCACTTTTAGGTGGGCAAGCGGGGCTTCCTGAGCAAGATCCAGCTACTTGGTGACTAACTATACGTCGCCGTGCATTCTGCAGGAGCGCAACACTTTCTGCCGCAGGGAACGGGCGCAGAGGGCGTACGTCGCGCAGAGGAGAGAAGGAGCGTAAAATGCGCTTCTTTCTCAGTGGCGACTACTATGTGTCTCTCAGCGAGGGCGGAATTATCGATCAAAGAGTAGCTACGACTGGTCTTATCAGAAAACGCCTCGGTTTTCTCCCTAGTGATGGAGTTGAGTCCGTCGGCCACAAGAACTGCGCCTTTGTCGAAAGCTCGCAGAGCCATGTGATGGTGTGTAGATGCTAATATGCTTCTAAGAGAAGGTGCAATGAGCGGAGTGAACATTAAGCGAAGCGGGTGCTTACTAATATTCACATTTGCGCAATGTCTTCAAAAAATACAATAATTGTGAGCCCCAGTGTGGTCGGATGGTGTAAAGTTAACGAATTTATTACACTACGGTGCAGTGCAAATTGCACGATCAAACAGGTATTCAAAATACAAATTACACTTTTGTGAAATTGTGGAAGGATGAACACGACGGGGCTCCATAATGGAGAGGTCCGTAGGACGTCAGATAACCTATTATTGCATGTAGTAGAAAATGTATGCATAGTAAAATTTAGATTAATTCAAGCGTTAATTTTTAATTGAAAAACAAATGGAGTTCTTAGTTATTGTGGAGGCACTACTTGGTGAACCCAATCGTTGTGTGTTGAGTGTAGTCTCTCTCTTTAGTGCAGCGCACACCTCAGAGCAAGGGAGAATAATATACTACTTCAGATTTTGGATTAAGACGACTAAATAATAGTTGCAGCTCAGTTATTATGCCAGCGATGAGTCAAAGTTTTGAGCGGCGCTATAGGGGTGTACGATAGAATGATGAAGTAATTTCATCAATTGTAAGCAATCGAGCTTGAACACTACAGAATTACTCTCGCTTTTGACGCTTCTTCGCGTAGTTTATGGTTTGGCAATGGATTCAGCTTTTCACACAAAATAGAAAAACCCGACGTCGACGCAAGAGCGGCAATAAAGCGTTAGTATTTGGCAATTAAGCAAAAACTAAAAGCATGATTTACGTATTCAGTAGAAAACTAGGGTTGTACAAAAAAAGCGAGGCATCCTTTCCTTGACATCACTCCAGCTTTCTACTCACAATGCTTACCAGAGGGAGAAGTCTGGTGCATCTGCTGTGGTTCATCAGAATATGGCTCTAACTGAGATGGATCGTTTGATGAATCAACCAATGTCTGGGTCGTGTTAGCAGTTAGAGTCTTGATCGGTGGAGGTGTTGGGGCATTGCTTGGTGGAGGTGTTGGACCATCGGTCGGTGGAGGTGTTGGACCATCGGTTGGTGGAGGTGTTGGACCATCGGTCGGTGGAGGTGTTGGACCATCGGTCGGAGGAGGTGTCGGACCATCGGTCGGTGGAGGTGTCGGACCATCGGTCGGTGGAGGTGCTGCAGCATTGGTCGGTGGAGGTGCTGAAGCACCGGTCGGTGGAGGTGCTGACGCATCGATCGGTGGAGTAGGTGGAGCATCAATTGTGTTATTTTTTATCGCATCTGCAGCGGGAGCTGTAGTTGCATTGGTCGCGGAAGCATTTTTCGCAACGATTGCAGAAGCTAATATTGCATCGGTCGGGGGTGGCTGAGGTGTATCAGTCGGAGGAGCTGCCGGCGCATCGGTGGGTGGAGTAGTAGAAGCAGCGGTCGGTACATCAGCAGGAGCGTAAGTTGGTGCACCATTCGTATTAGGGGTCTCTGTAGCCGGTGAAATGGCCAGGCAAGTCGCTTGAAGTTTAGAAACCTCCTCCTTGAGAACAGTGTTGTTACCAACGATGCAGTTGGTCAAGTTAAAGTTCGCGCTTCCAACAAGAGCCGACAAAATAGTCTTGCACGAGTCCGCAGTGCATAAGGCCTTGATGTTGTCAGGCGCTGAGGCGGCTTTTTCAATCGCTAAATCCACGGAGCCGTCTAACGCAGCGCTAAACTTGTGCTGCGTCATGCAGGACACAAGTTGCGTACTTACATTTAGACCCTCATAAGCTTTGACTAAGACATCGTTGTTACATGTATCAAGAGCGTCCGTCATGCCGAATACTAGAAAGGAAAAGCTCGCCAAGCTGCGCATGACGTCCGATGGGTTCTTAGTGTTCCTATAAATGCCTTCCTAAAGACCCGTATAAGGTGGCAATGAGAGCTCTCTGCCAAACCATAGAGACGGTAACAAGTCAGATGCATCGAGTCATCGATGTGTACAGCGCTTGGAACCATATGGACGTCACGAAAGAGTCAAATTGCAGCACGTTGTGACGATCTGGCGGCACCTCTACCGATAGCAACGGTGATATACGTATTTAGAAATGCGAGTCATAAATTTTGCGTGACTACACATATTGTAAGCTGTAGTGGAATATTATCTTTTTATTATTTTTCATACTTTTTTGCTTCGCATGTTGTCTGTAAAAATGTGTCTGCGTTGCATACTTTCAAATAGAATAATGAGAGAATATATGGTAATGGAGCCGCGAGTAACCGATCAACGATAATCGGCACATAACGTTTCACACACGCGCGATGCCTCTATCAAGCATCATAAGTTGTAAGAGCTTCGCACGAAACCTACTGTAAACATACCTATTTAGGATGCATTTTATGCACAATAATCATCTAGTATACGTGTATACTAATATCTTAAAATTTGACTGGCAAAAAACTGCTTGTATATCTGGATTTTCAGACAAAAATCACGTCACAAAAAATATCCTTCGTCTTAAAAATAGTAATAGCTAAGCAGTTACAGACATACCACAACCGCATCAGCAATCCTAGATGCCGCCATAGAATGTCGAGACCATGCGTCAAGGCACGAAACTGCCGATTCACAGGCATCACCGTCTCGGATATAAAGATGCCATCAATGTTAACTTGCGTCATTTTGCGATTCACCAACAACGCTGCTAGAATCTAACGACTTGTGGAAAATGCTTGAACTTCAAACTCCAATGCAGACTAAGGCTTTTAAAGTTTTTTGGTAAGTGGCGGTCTTGAAACTTTAGCTTTTGATGTCATGTATTACTTATTAAAAGCCTGTACGATGAATGACACTATCTCGTAGGCACAAAGCGGAAGTGCAAATGGTGGAGCGTCCAAATTATCAAGCGCCTGTGGTTGCCATTTCACAACCATCACTATTAGGAGGTCATGAAGAATTTGTGTTGCAGTACCCTGCAAGATTGGAGCCACCGACCAAGCGGAACATCGAGCGACATCGATTTACTATTCGACATGGCAAGAAGCGACGGATATTCCAAGCGCCTGATGCTGCCACGTTCCATACGTGGCTTTCAGCCATTGAGCATGCACTAGAGTCTAAAAATGGTACAGAGCACAGTATGTCCCCCGATTCGCAAAATTCGACCCGTTCTCTGACTGGAAAAGTCTGCAGCCAAGACAGTCATGCCTCACGTTCTAGATTCACAACGCTAGAGCTATCGTGCTATACGCGTGATCGGATCAATCGCAAGTTGATCAGGCTTCGTCGTCCTGCCGCGACTATACCTAGTCTTGCTGAGATCAAAGCTGATCGGTATGCATCTGATCGACCAAATGAAAACGTGAAAATTGAGGGCGAGATAGGAGAAAGGAATGAAAAAAAGTTTGTGGAATTCGCGACGGAAAAGTTAACCAGCATCACAAACGTCAAGGATGAGGTGTTAAAGCCCTTCACTGCTGTCTCAGTCCGGTTACCATCCGTATCTGACGACATGGATCTCGCAGTTAATAATGATGAGGACCCTGGTGATGTGTCGCTGACAAGCACTGCATCTGAAGCTGTGTGTAAAGACGACTCTGGCGACATCTCCGACACAACAGAACATAGTACGATCAATTCGGAGACCTCTGTGGAGTTGCTTAACTCGAAAGTTCCTTTGGCTGATGGTGTGCCCGAAACCACTGTAACTAGTGATGAGGATAAACCTGATGCAGACGACTACTTACAATCCGCAATTGATTTAAATTGTGCGCACAAATGGTTCCCACTTAACCCAGACAACTCCAAGTTGATTTGGCAGCGTCGCTCGCTTTATTGCCAGGGGAAGGGTGATTACCATCCGAGCCCCAAACGACAATTTGCTAAGCAATGGATTCCACATGATGTAAGCAACTCTCGTCCTATCTGGATTCGACGAAGCGAAAACGGCTTGAGTCAATCGGATTCTCGATACAAAGCGACGCCACACTTTTGTAGATGAATGCCTTCGATTTCAAATAAATTAAATACCAATAAAGTCGGTGCTATGTCGTCCCAGCTGGAAACGACGCTACTCCCATCGCCGAATCTTCAATGTTACATTTGTTTAACTATAGCGAACAGCGCCGCCATCAGGAAGAATAAGTCACATTTACTTTTTACTATGCCGTATTAAGCGCCTGCAAGTTTATCTATTGTGCTCTAGCACTTTGATACACGGGCATTACTTCCATTTAAGATAGTAATCATATGGCACCGCTGGAAGACGAATCTTGCCCAACGATCCAAGCCAACTAGAAAATAAAAATGCGGAAGGGCGCCAATTTCGTATGAACCGGCGCAACAAGAAGAGATAGTGAAAGTCACTTTCTCGTTATCACATTGTAGAACAAAGAAGACAATGAACTACATTCTTACACTCCTGCAACTAATTCTGGTAAATCTACACATGTTAGCGAGGAGGAATCCCAAATCATGCTGGATCAGGATTTGAAGTGGATGCAAAGTCAGGCGACCTAGCCAAACTTGTGGAACGTTAAGTCCGCTTGGAGGCGTCGCAAGGCCGACCGGGAAGGCCAGGGTCGGGCGCTTCGAGACAAGAGACGTTAAAGAGGCAAGCAATAAAAAAAAACGCCGCCAAGGACGGGGTATAAGCTTCGAGATGATGTAGCCATACTATAAATTGAGTGGCACGGTTGGCCAAGGGCCGAGTGCAGCGGGGCTGCCGTAGCTTTGCGCTTAAAGGGAAGCGTAAGTTAAATCACCGACCTTTCGTTCTATACTTAGAACAAGTACGAGTTTAGCGGATCGCCATTCGCTACTCCACGAGTAATTACAACCTTAACCCAAGGCTAATTAACCCTTTCGTTTAAATTAAAAAAATATATTCTTATCTGCGGCAAAAAGCGCCTAATTTTGAATGCATAGATTTTCCTAAACTTGTATAGTAAAGTCTAAATACATGTAA